ACCATATTGGCCAAACTGGTCTTGACCTCCTGACTTTGTGATCCGCCTGACTCAGCCTCCCAGAGTACTGAGACTAAAGGCATGACCCACAGTGCCCGGCTTACTCTTTAGTCTCAAGGGGATATTTTTAAGACCCAAAATTTGGATACTCTTAAATTTACTTACCCTGGTTACTTGAATATACAAGGCACTCTAGTGTTCCTGGAATAAACAGAGTTCAGATTTCTTAGTGATGAAGAGCACCTAAAAAATTGCCACAAGGAAATGAAAGGGCCCCATGACTCTTCCATTCTCATATCTGCTGCACCCCAGTGGTTGTTGTCCTTGGACTATACCATCAGATTTGCAGCATCTTAAAAAACTATCATGTCTCTCTCACAAATTGACATCTAATACGCTAATTCTATAAACAGACTAAAACACCACTGGGTTGTACATTTTAAATGGGTGAATTGTATACTATGTGAATTCTATCTCAATAAAACCATGAAATAATTGAAAGCAGAGTCTAAATACAGTAAAGATATTTGTACACCCATGTTCATAGCAGCATTATTCACAATAGCTAAAGGTAGAAGCGACCCAAGTGTCCATCAGCAGATGAATGGATAAAAAAAATGTAGTATACAATGCAATGTTATTCAGCTTTAAAAAGGAAGGAAATTCTAACACATGCTACCATATGAATGAACCTTGAGGACATCATGCCAAATGAAATAAGCCAGATACAAAAAGACAACAACTATATGATTTCGCTTGCATGAGGTATATAGAGTAGTCAAATTCATAGAGATAGAAAGCTGAATGGTGGTTGCTCAGGGTGGTGGGGAGGCTGAATGGAGAGTTGTCGTTTAACGGTATAGAGTTTTAATTTTGCAAGACGAAAAGAGTTCTGAAGATTGGTTGCCCAACTATGTGAATACACTTAATGCTACTAAGCTGAACACTTAAAATGGTTAAGATGGTAAATTTTGTGTTATGTGTATTGTACCAGAATTTTCTGAAAGTAGGGAGGCTATGGTTCTTGTGTACTGTTGCAAGGCACGATAGCCTGGGTTCCCGTGAAATTCCAAATGAACAATGATAGGAGAGCTTGCAGAACCCAGTATAGTTTTAGAAGAAAGGAGTGTTCATATTCTACTTATTATTTATTTCAAAGCTCTCTGGGATGAGAATTATAAGCCAGTTACTCCAGACTTTTCTGAAATTGATACTAATATACACCCATATTGATACTCATATAGCTATTGATTCGTTGATTCAACAAAAGTTGATTGGGTGTCTAATGTGTTCTAGGCATGGTGCTGGAAAATGAAGAAACATTGGTGAGATACTACTAACCCCTACCCACATAGGTCTTACAGTCTGACAGATCGAATCAATTGACTTGGCCTTGTAAAAAATCTCAAGTATTTGGGTTTTTCATAGGACTTTTCTTTCACGTTACTTCACGCAGTCATCCATGAACACTGCAGTAACAACAACAATCTCTTGTTATTTTTATATACATTCCCGTATTTTGTTTAATACTCAACTTCAATCTTTTCTTCCTTTAAGAATGCAGTTTCCTTTTTTTTTTTTTTTTTTTTGGAGACAGAGTCTTGCTCCGTCACCAGGCGCCAGGCTGGAGTGCAGCAGCGCACTGCAACCTTCACCTCCCGGGTTCAAGCAATTCTCCTGCCTCAGCCTCCCAAGTAGCTTAGACTACAGGCATGCACCACCAAGCCCAGCTAATTTTTTTTTTTTTTTTTTTTTTTTTTTAGTAGGGACGGGGTTTCACCATGTTGGCCAAGATGGTCTCCATCTCTTGACCTCGTGATCCACCTGCCTTGGCCTCCCAAAGTGCTGGGATTACAGGCCTGAGCCACCGTGCCTGGCCTAGAATGTAGGTTTCTTGAGAAAAGGCCAGTCTCACTTACCTTATATCCTCTAAAAAGTCTCCATAGCTAACAAAATGCCTTATACACATAAAAGCAAAACACTTTCAAGAACTGTGCTGAGAAAACACAGCTCTATCTCTAGACCAAAGTAATAACTGCTGATTTGGGGGTTTTGAAACTATTCCAACTACCAATGCAGATTGCAATATGATAAGGAAATATCTGTACCACAGTTTGGAAAATATATTTTAAAATGCCAATCATGATTCTTCCAGTTGCATTGTGTAATGTGATCTGTTTTTATGAAAGTTCTTTCTCTACAGTATTACCAATTCTACAGTAAGTGTAACTCTATAATATGTGATATTTATTTGCACATACAAGTTTGCTTATGACTCAGACCTCAGGCTATACATTAATCTCATGGCCTGTGGATTGACTTACATAGATATCACATTCAAACCAGAAGAAATATCTAGAGTTGGGCAGGGAGCGGAGAATAGGCCATTGTTAGAAGTATTGACTGTAATGATCATGAATAGTATTGTCATATTGCCTATTAAAAGATTCTACAATCAAAGGCCTCTAAACCAGAGTTATGATTTCAGATCTCACTATCTAATGAAAACCCATTCCGTACAAAGCCCCACTCATATGTTATCTCATTCATGATTCATAATACATTTCTGATGGAAGCATTCCTAGTTCATTTTACAGATGGGAAAACTGTGGATCAAGGTTGAAGAATTTCCCAAATGTTTCACAGCCTCAAAGTCCAATGCTGTTTCCACATATGATACTCAATTTTGAACATTTTATTGATGTAGGAGACTTAAAAAATAAAAATGAACCAAAAACCCTGCAAGCAGTGTGTGTTGGTCGAGAGTTGCTGTTTCTCTAAGGTCCAGTAAGCCCTTAGCTTTGTTTTCCTGAACTTTGAATTTCGGTTGCACATCAAGCCCCAGGGGTGGGCAAATGCTGAACAGGAACAGCAGCAAGTGGCAGCACTCGGGGCAGGAGCACTCATGCTGTTCTGACATTCCTAGCCAGGCTGTTGTTCACGTGAAACCATGCCCAGCTAACCAAGGACACCTAGGTCTGCCGACGCAAGTCATTTCTCCCTGATTAATGAAGGTTTAATGTCCAGGGTTATAAACTGCTGAGAGGGCAATAGGGAAAGAGCTAATTTATGAGTCTCTGGTTACCAAAATGTAAATAACTCTGCTTTAGATCACTATCTTGGAATGCGACAAACTCTCCAACTTCCTGTACTGTGACTCTGGGCAAGTTACTTGCCCTCTCTGAAACAGCATTTCATTATACGTAAAATGGGGATAATAAGCCTTTCTTAAGAAAGGCATTGAGATTGGAGGTAATTTATGAAAAGAACCAAGTACATCATAGGATCTCAAAAAAAAAAAGGTAACAATTATTGTTGTATAACAAGAATAATTAGTACTAGTAGCCTCTCTCAGCAGGTGGAATGTTTTAGCTTTGGTTCTGACCACCCCAGCCCTCACTCCCAACAACTTTCATTACACCCACTCACTTCTTTCATCATCATCCACCTCTTATTCCTCCATTCTCCTTTATCAAAAACCATGAGGATGATACGTCACATAGCCCCAAAGCTGGTCACACTGGTCTGATGAATCAGGTACCAGATGCCTGAATGAGCCCAGGAGGAGATGGAGAAACCAGGATATGTGCTGTGCCATCAGATAGTAAGTGGAGTCAAAGGAGCTGACAAGACCTTTCCCTGGTCTACCCCTCTACTATCCTCAGGACAGGCCTTGGTCAAAACTTCCTCAGCCAAACGAGCCTCAATATTGTATTTCAAATACTTGAGTTTCCTTCAATATTCACATTCAATGATGAATACTTACCACTTTCAAAAGCTGACCAAACCTAAACTCTATTTAGACCACCTAATTCTGTTTCTTTTTTCCTTCATTTTGTTGACATTTCACCTTTTAATCCGTAAATTCCAGTGTTAAACTCTGTACCATCAAGCATCTTGGTCTTGTTTTCCATTTTATGAATTATTCCAGAGGAATATGTTCATGAGAATTTACCCTTTCCTGTAATCATGGCCATTCCATCACTTTTAGATTTCCCTTTTATTTGCCTCATTTATCATTTGCCTCTGGAATCATATAGTATTTTTATTTGCCTTCTCTTGAATTAAATTTGGGTTTCATACTTAGGAAAAAGCCCTGCAGAATGAACCCATACCCAGACAGTACCATATATTTAGGGGTATTGATGGCTTAGTTCAATCACTTTGAGTTTAATTCTAGCTTTTACCAAATTTGAAGACAAAAGTACAAAGGTTGAAAGACAATGGGAATAAAAAAACAATTACTCCTGGCATTAAATACATCAAAAATCCCAGCTAGGTTTTGGAGGACTGGAAAGAATGGGAGGAGCAATGATTTTTAAAAACAGAATGTTTTGAATTTTATTTTCCATCTGGACAAAATTCACACATGGGAAATTCAAGGATTCAGAATCCATTTCTTTTATTGAAAGATTATTTAAATTTGACTGTAAATTATAGAATAAATTGTTGGAACTGGCTACTGCTTACAGACACTATGCAAACTCACTTAATGTTCCTCTGAAGTCAAGATCTCACTTTAAAGAGAAGAAAATAAAGGCTCAGACAAGTAAAAAGCAAAACCAAAAATGCTTCACCAAGTTTATGTGCTTTGTAAGTGTTACAGCTACACTAACATTCTTCCTAATATCATGTAATGGACCCTAGAGCTCTGTCTTTGACTAGCTGCATGACTCAGGCGAATCTCCTAGTCTTCCTTACCTCAGTTTCCTCACCTGTAAAACGGAGGGTCTGGATTAGGAACCATGTGGTCTCAAGACATTCCTTGCAGCTTTAACATTCTAAAAGCATAGGAGTATATGAGCATGATTGTAAGGATTGGTTGTTTATGAGCCAATCAGAGGTGTTGAATGAACACCTCCCTACCAGGTCAAGGTAGAAAGGGGAGGGCAAATGTTGAAAAAGAAAAAACAACTTTGATGAGAACACTATAAAAATTGTGTGCTACCTACCGAAGATCTGTCCTATTTGATAGCTGCTGCCTCACTCACAGCTTTTGATATCTAGGAGGACTCTTCTCTCCCAAACTGTAAGTAAAAAAGCTTCCTTTGTAAACCTGGACTGTACCAGTGAATAAGGGGTTAATGACAGCACTAAGCTTATAGCGGGGAAGATTAATGTGCCTTTGTTTTAAAGAAAAACTTGTTTGTAGCTGAAAACATGATGGTTCTGCTTGGAGAGAAATGCATGTTTTTCTTTTTCTAAGCATAAATGCTTATTCACACCTTTCCTGGCTTTTTGAGAGGTGGCAAAACGCCCAGGATTGATTGCCAGTTACATGTGTTACCTGAATGAGGCCTTTGTGAGTCTCTGATCTAGGAAAAACCACTTGAACACAACTATCGTTAGGTTCTAATCGGTTTTTGAGATTCCTGTTCATTTAAACTCTTGACTCTCTTTTCATAACAACGACTTATTTTAGTGGTTTATTTACATATCTATTGCCTTATGTCATTTTCTACATTCTCTTCCCACACGTACTGGTACTAACACTGAAGTTTCTTTGTCACAGAAACAAACCCTTGGAGTGTTTTGCCCTTTGCCTTCACTCACTGCTCAAATGAGGAAATAAAACAGAGTTAGAAACTTCACAGACCACAGTCGTCATTTGATTATGAATTTCCAAACCCTTCATGTTTGACACTTTCAAGAACATTTCATGCTGGCCTCAGACACTGTGAAGACCCTAGAGCTTAAGACAGTAGAAATGAAAAGGTTCTATATTTTGATACATTTGCTCTACTATCTGAAAAATAGGCATTTGTGAGAATATGTTGGCTTTAAAAAAAAAAAAAAAAAAAACAACTTCTCTTTAAATAGTTGCCTAGGGCTCCGTTAGCTAATTTGGATGCAGCAGGGCTTGAGTTCTGCCGCTCTGCTATTCATCACCTTAGCTAAGGCACATCTAGGTAGCATTCAGGCCCAGGTTAGAGCCAGAGATACTGGGCCCCAGAATGGAGTATTGTTGCTGAAAAAAAAATCTAAGACTTTGGCTTCAGTCCAAGTGTAGAGGAAAGAGCACTACTCAGGACTCTTTCTGGGCTGCTCCCCATGTGTTGAAGGGCACTGGAAATCAGGCTGTCCTAGGGCAGCCGTAGATCATTCTGCCGCACTTGTCACTGGGGCATTGGGGTGGATAATGAAGGTATGGGCATCTTTATGCCTCATATATGAAAGTGCTGCATATAATGCCTAGAAATCATAGGCTTTCACTAAATAAGCCTTCTCACATTTGTCTTAAAAATCCAATTGTCTTGTACATAGAGAAGCAAATGGACTCTCTCCTGCCTTCTATTTCTCCAGGAATTAAATATCCATATGTTACAAATAATTGTGTTTTCACGGAACATCTTCAAGGAAGGCAGAAAGAACCATACCATAGGATTCTACCTGCTATTTTGCTGAAGGATTAGAAATAGAATTTTCAGTCATAAGCCAGTAGGATGTGACTTGCAATCCTAGAACATTACAACTTAGAAGGCACATAGTCTCTCTGGCCTCAGTTTCCTCATCTCTAAAGTGACAGGGTTGACACAGATATCTCTGAGGTCATTTGTAGCTTTGTTTTTCTGTTGTTAACACAACTTTCCTCCAGATTTATATACATATTACTTGTTACACATAAGTAATAAAGTGTGTGACAAAGAACTTATAAAATGAAATGTGGCTGGGTGCAGTGGCTCACGCCTATAATCCCAGCATTTGGGGAGGCCAAGGTGAGACGATTGCATGAGCTCAGGAGTTCAAGACAAGTCTGGGCAACAAAGCAAGACTTTGTGTCTACTAAAAATCAGAAACATGGCCAGGCATGGTGGCAGGTTTCTGTAGTCTCAGCTGCTCGGGTATCTGAGGTGGGAAGATCAGTTGAGCCCAGGAGGTCAAGGCTGCAGTGAGGCATGATCATGCCAGCGCACTCCAGGCTAGGCAACAGAGTGAGACCCTGTCTCAGAAAACAAAAAAGAAAGAAAGAAAAAGAAATGTGAGACTCTTTCCAGCCTACCTCTTCTTCAGAGGTAACCTCAGAGTTGTTACTCTTTGTTTATACAGACACACAAACAGTATGAGTATATATCATTTTTTTAATTAAAAAAATAGGAGAATAGTATATATTCTCTGAAACTTGCTTTTTTTTGTTTAATAATATAATGTGAACAAGTTTCCATCACACTGAAAAAAGTTGGCCTGAGACCTCAGAGAGCAGAAGCTTAGCTTAGGGACACTGAAATCGTTCTGTGTCATTACCCATCCCAGGCTGGCCTCCCGTCTCCCAGTGGTGAACATTGGCCTGTGACCCTGTTTTACGATTAACAGAGAGGCGACATTTGTGCTAACGTGGAACAGACCTTTAATCCCACTGTAGAAGTTTAACTCCCTGTAAACAGTATTAGCTTAAATTGACCTTTCCTCTGTTATTCTGGTTGAGTCAGCACACCCAGATTGAAGAAAATAGTTTGGAAATAGGTAGAAAATAGAAATATGGAGGTACCTTAGTTTTTTTTAATTAAAAAAATAGAATTAGTAATACATTGCATTTTATAGTGCTTTGTAAAGCATCTTCATGTTTACCATGCAATTTAACAAATACATTTTGAGCAACTACAATGAGCAGGGTGCTCACAGATTGCACTGGAGTTATCTGGCAAAGACACAACCAGAACAATCATTATCACTACTTAATCCGTAGTAAACGGAGACTCAGGAAGTTGCCTGACTCGCCCGAGGTTCCAGATAGATTAGGCAGAGCTGGTTCTTAAACCCAAGTCTGTCTGATCTACTAGCAGCAAATCTCTACATGAATATGTCAGATGTTTGAATTAGTAATGTCCTCCGTATAATCACCCACAGCCTAAGGTACTCTGGGGTGTCATCAAGGACATTAGGAGTCATCCAAAGGCCATTCTTTTTTTCACTGAGCTCACTCTTTTCCTTGAATAGAAAGGAGTACTGCCCCTTATCTCAGTTTTATGCCTTATTAGCTATTTTTCCTTGGACAAATAATTAACACTCTCTTATATTCTTTCCTAATCTATTAAATGGGAGGGGAGAAGAGTCCAACCACTTGCTGGGATTATTTTGAACAATTAAATTATATAACTGCATGAAAAGCCATTAGCAGAGGGCTTGACAATACGTGACTACTTGTTGTTATTATTATTGGGCTGACTTTTCCTTTTGTTTCATTAAGAAAACATCTTTCTTTTTCTGTGATTCTCAACTCCTTGGTGCAAATGCCTAAACTGAGGGAGAAAGTTTTCACCTTGTTCTGAGGGTCACCTCCAGGTTGGCTTTTTTCAGCTTGATGATCTGGAGGCCAGGTCCAAAGCTAAAAATCCCTGACTCTAATATTAGAGGCTGATATATAAATGGGGCAAACACGCTCTGCTGGTGGCTGGAATGTAATGGGCCTTAGAGGGTCATCTTCTCTAGAAATTGTTGCCCACTAGCTTGCCCTATGACCCCAATAACAGCACTGCGGTTTCCTGCTTTTGGTTTAAGACAAGAACCTCTGTTGAAATGGAGAGGCAACAATGAGGTCATCGGTTATACCTTCTCATGAATGAGCTCAGTAGCTACTCACGCCTTACATCAAGGGACAGAGTACTGAAAGCCTACCCTGAAGGGATGCAGAAAATGTGGAGAAACAGATTTGTCATGAGGATAGGACTGTCTAGGGAGCTCTGCTTCACCATAGCTGGGACGTTGGACAAGTCAGTTAGCTTCTCTAAGTCTTAGCTTGCTCATTAATTAATTAAGATAATACCTGCTATAATCACCTCATTGCCAGTGGATCAAATGAGATCTGAGGTGTTCCTGGGCTTCCAGGAAGTAATCTGTAGACATGGGGCATCCATCCTGTGCTGAGTGTATTGGAGAGAGAGAAGATTAGGAAAAAGAGGAGACCCTGGGATTGGATAGGAAGCTACCCGAGATACTCTTCACTACCGTTTTTTCTTTGGTAGCCCAATCTATGCAAAAAACACTCTTCGTAACACTCAAAGTGAGAGCTCTTTGAGCTTGCATTTTCAAGAACAAAGTGGCAGTCGAACAGGGGCAATGATTCCCTTCAGAGCACCACCACTAAGAGGGCCACTTGATTAGGGGGTCTTCGAGCCAGAGTCTCCCCTTGCTAAAGCAGTGAAGCTGGAGCAGGGACTGCCATACAACTTTAGCATCTTCATAGAAACCTGAGCACAGATGCACTTAGAAGACATCCTCCCCAGTCTGCCCCAAGTGGTTTCAAAGATGGTTGAATATAAGGAAAAGGAAACTTGCACTCAACCCTCTAGCCCAAGGCCAAAGGGTAACTACCTTGAAGCTAAACATAGCTTCACGACTATGTATAGATTTCTCCTTTCAAGCTTGTTGCCTGGAGAATAATCTGTTGGGACTACAGACTAACAGAGCAAAGTGGAGGATAACTACAGAGGCCAAGAGCTTCATTGTCCTGGCCTCAAGCCATTAAGGAAATCCCGTGGTGTTTCCTTATCCAGAGAATAGAGAGACAGTCCGTTACTGTAGTTCCCTCCATTAGTCATATTTTCATGGGTCACTCATTAGCCAATTGGTGTTAGGATTAATGATTCCAAAGGTCTCCTGGAAAGCATTCTGTCTAGGATCACCATGAACATTCAGCATCCCACCTTCATTCATTGCGGCTAATTGCAACTAATAAGTGATGGGGGAAAAGCACACCTCATTTGTTTATCCGGTTGTGGAAATGGGCCAGAGGTGCCACAGGGGCCTGCACCCCCAACTGTCTTGGTCATGCATCCATCTGAGCCACCCATGGCTCTGTGCACGACTCTCCCGCACTCTTTTCTAGACCTGTCACCATGGCCCATCGATTTCCGGCCCTCACCCAGGAGCAGAAGAAGGAGCTCTCAGAAATTGCCCAGAGAATTGTTGCCAATGGAAAGGGAATCCTGGCTGCAGATGAATCTGTAGGTAAGTGTGAAAAGCAGTCCCATCATATAACAACATATTATTTTTTCTACACTTAGCAAAAACAACTTGATAATCCTATTTTTTTTTTGAGACGGAGTTTCACTCTTGTTACCCAGGCTGGAGTGCAATGGCGTGATCTCGGCTCACCGCAACCCTGGCCTCCTGGGTTCAGGCAATTCTCCTGCCTCAGCCTCCTGAGTAGCTGGGATTACAGGCACACACCACCATGCCCAGCTAATTTTTTGTATCTTTTAGTAGAGACGGGGTTTCACCATGTTGACCAGGATGGTCTCGATCTTTTGACCTCGTGATCCATCCGCCTCGGCCTCCCAAAGTGCTGGGATTACAGGCTTGAGCCACCACGCCTGGCTGATAATCCTATTTTTTATGGAAGTCAAGGTTTACGTACACAGGAGTGGCATCAGAAGACTCAGTAAGCGTAGAGCTTTTGAGTCCTATAAGTAGGAGGCACATTTCTGAAAGCCACGGAAAGAGGCTGAAGCCCTTCATTGTAAGGCCCTTTGCCAGTGGTCATTTGAATTCAGCCTTGTAGTAAGGCTAGAAACTTAGTAACTAGCATAAGATCAGATACACAGAAACCTGCTGCTAATGAGAAATCAGCTTAAAGTCAGTCAAGTCAGCAAAGGGAGGAAAGTATCCGCACCTGGAATAGGACAGGGCTAATGGATGGCAGAACCTGAGGATGCCACAAGGGAGAGCTATGGCAGAGTTCCCCAGCCTGCCAGGAAATGACAGAAGCCTGAGAATCAAGAGTGTGCCCCATCCCTCCTTCTGTATGTACGTCCGGAGAGACCGAGGACTGGATCAGGGAGGGCTAGAGAGGCCCGAGGGCTTTACACATCCACCTGGACCGCATGATAGCTTCCACTCTGACCTCTACATGCCCAACCCACACACTCGCTAACCAGCAACCTGAAAGCAACCAGGGTCTTCTCTCTGGAACACAAAAAAATTGAGGCAGGAGCTTTGACTACCTGAAAAAAGAAAGGGAGCCTTGCTTTCCACTGTGGTGAGGGCCTCTGAGATGATGTAGAGAAGGGCGACGGAAAAGCCCTGGCTTGCTCCTTATGTTGCCCTCTGCCTTCCCACCATAGGCACCATGGGGAACCGCCTGCAGAGGATCAAGGTGGAAAATACTGAAGAGAACCGCCGGCAGTTCCGAGAAATCCTCTTCTCTGTGGACAGTTCCATCAACCAGAGCATTGGGGGTGTGATCCTTTTCCATGAGACCCTCTACCAGAAGGACAGCCAGGGAAAGCTGTTCAGAAACATCCTCAAGGAAAAGGGGATCGTGGTGGGAATCAAGGTGAACACCTCCATTCACACCTCACCTATGCCTTCTCCTGGGCAAACTCCCAGCACACTGGCAAGGGCGGGGCCAACACTCTGAACATTCTCCTCATCTAATTTCTCTTCTCACCCTTTTCCATTGCCATTTTCCCACAGACAACCAGATTCTCATCTAGATTTTTCCTCCAGTGCCCTCTTCTTTCACTCAAGTTTTCTACACCTTCTTCATCTCTTTGCATCTGAATCTCATTTCTTAAAATGGGATTCCTAATACTTAAAATGGGAATCTACCTCATAACGTTCTTACAGGGATGAAATGAGTCAATGTTTCTAGACTGGAAGTGGTGGCTTACAGCTATAATCCCAGCACTTTGGAAGGCAGAGGCAAGAGGATCGCTTGAGCTCAGGAGTTCGAGACCAGCCTGAGAAACATAGTGAGACCTTGTTTGTGTTGGTGCATGCCTGTAGTTCCAGCTACTCAGGAGGCTGAGGCAGAAAGATTGATCACCTGAGCCTTGGAGGTCGAGGCTGCAGTGAGCTGTGGTCATACCACTGTACTCCAGCCTGGATGACACAGTGAGACCCCGTCTCAAAAAAATAAAATAGAAGTTTATATTGCATAATTATTCAGTTAATGGTAACTATTATAATTATTAAAGCATTTACTATTCTATCTTGTAACTAGGTCTTCCAATAATGCATAAACTTCTCAAAAGTGAAAACTAGTATCCATTGGCTGGGAACAGTGGCTCACGCCTGTAATTCCAGCACTTTGGGAGGCTGAGGCAGGCGGATCACGAGATCAGGAGATCAAGACCATTCTGGCTAACACAATGAAACCCTGTCTCTACTAAAAATACAAAGAATTAGCTGGGCATGATGGCACATGCCTGTAACTCCAGCTACTCGGGAGGCTGAGATAGGAGAATCACATGAATCCTGGAAGTGGAGGTTGCAGTGAGCTGAGATTGTGCCATTGCACTCTACCCAGGGCAGCAGAGTGAGACTCCATCTCAAAAAAAAAAAAAAAAAAATAAGAAGAAAAGAAAAAAGAAAACTAGTATTCATTGCGTACAAGTGTTTACCATTTTAAGCGCTCATAACCTCTGGTAGTAGACTCAATTATTACCCTTATTTAGAGATGAAGTGAGAAAACCGAACTACAAAGAATAACATAACTTGACCTCACAGCAAGGCAAGGTCAGAGCCAGTTTAGGCTAATTCTCAAGGTCATGACCTTGGCCTCTGCTATGCAGAGAGTAGAAGTTGTATCCTTATTCTCTTTGCCTTCTATACTAACACAATACCTGGTGTATGCAGGTGCTCAATAAATGTTAGGGTAGATACTCTCACATTATACTTTCCAGATAACTTCCCTTCTGCTCTGTACTGAACGGTGTCCCTCACAATGACTAATACGCTTTCTTAATTCAACTCCTTGGTCTGTAAAAGAAGCAAACTATTAGTTCCAAGAGTTCTGCTTGTGTTTCCTGACATCTGACACCTGCGAAGTAATTGTTAATTATTTGTATCCATAGTTAGACCAAGGAGCTGCTCCCCTTGCAGGAACAAACAAAGAAACCACCATTCAAGGTAAGGATATTGCTCACTGATATGCATCATGCCAGTATAAGCTAGAAATTAAGGCCAGTAAAGAAGGAAGCAAGGAAAAACAAAACGTGACTCTTACACTGGTCTTAGCGCCACACATACCTGGTTTTGGATATCACCTCCTCCATTTAACAAGGGTGACCTTGGGCCAGTCACTGAAATGTTCTGAGCCTCAGTTCTCCGGTCTCGAAATGGAGTAACTGTTGTGGGGATTAAATTAGACAACGTACATAAGATGCGTACCAAAATACCTTGCACAAAGAATATTAAAGTCTGCACCTGCAAGTATTATTTTTAGAAAAAAAAAGAAAAAAAAATCTATCAGTAGAAGAGTGGAAAGGCCCCACACTTTGAGATCAGGTACACCTGGGTTTGAATCCTGGTTCTATAACATGCTACCTAGATAATTTTGCAAGGTACTTCTGCCCAAGTAGACAAGCATTAACCCACAACATTGGGTTAGCTAAGCAGAATTTGAATCCCAGCTCTGTCATGCTTTAGCATTCCAAACTTGGTAAAGGCGGTTAACCATTAAGAGTCTCAGTTTCTAGATTTGTGAAATGAGTATCGTATTAACTATTGGTTTCTCCTATTCTATATGTGGAGTAGATAGTATGTATATCAGAACAATATACATTAAATCTAGGTCTTCTGGTTCAGTGTTGTGACTAAAGCTTAAATGCTTAGCTTTTTTCAGTCCTCAAGCTCAGCAAATTGAAAGCTAAGCCAAGGGAGAACCCCTTCACTTTATCAGAGGTCCCCATGGTTCAGGTACAAAGGTGCAAGGAAGCCTTTCTCTCTTTTGTGACTTGTAGGGCTTGATGGCCTCTCAGAGCGCTGTGCTCAGTACAAGAAAGATGGTGTTGACTTTGGGAAGTGGCGTGCTGTGCTGAGGATTGCTGACCAGTGTCCATCCAGCCTCGCTATCCAGGAAAACGCCAATGCCCTGGCTCGCTATGCCAGCATCTGTCAGCAGGTGCTCCACCTTCCCCTTGGGCTGAAAAAGAGTAGGCTAGAACTTTTCTTTTAAACTTTACTATAACTACACTTGAGCCCTTCTTTCCCCCTCACCAGTATATCCTAGTGGCATTTTCCACCACTTTTTTGCTATAGCCAAGTGTGGTAGGAAAGATTTGGTCCCACAAGCCAATTGGCGTTCAACTAAGCTATGAGTTCAAAGGATAATGTCATCAACTACTGCCCTCTGTCAAAGCTTCATAACTGTTTTATAAGTAATCAGGCTTTGGAGGCCAGATAAATCGCTTGTCTATACTCCATAACATCCAATACATGATCCTCTTAGATTTCTAGCTGAAGAGTGACAGCTCTGACCACAATTCTAATCCAAATAATTCCTTGGAGGATGATGACCAGATGCTGAAGTTTCCAACACATACTAAAATGTCTCTGGGTCCAAGTTAAGTTTGATTTGCTTCTGTGAGTACTATGTTGGGGCTGTTAGAGTTGTGGACAGCTGGAGATTCCCAATTAGAACTATAAACACTGCTTCAATTTCTTCATTAGCCCACACTAGAGGCATTTTCCTTAATGATGTATGCTTGAATGCCCTAAAAAGGTAGCAGCTACGTTTTGAGGCAGTTAGAATAGTCTCTAGAAAGAGATATAGAAATTAAGTGTTTGTATTTATTTTTTACCCCGTTCTGAAAATTTTCACTGGCTTTAAGTCACCTGTGTAGTATTTCTCCGTAATGGCTTCAATTTAAACCAATTGCAACTGCTGAATCTCCTCCTAAGGAAAGGGTGACTGAGCACACAGCTTCACTTTTGCTTCCCTGCTTTTTCTTTTTAGAATGGCCTGGTACCTATTGTTGAACCAGAGGTAATTCCTGATGGAGACCATGACCTGGAACACTGCCAGTATGTTACTGAGAAGGTAAGTCTTAAATATAAAGTTCCCAATTCTCGTTGAGAAATCTTATTTTTAGGTAATAGCTGTTACTTAACACATAACAGCTGTTATATTTGAAGTAGTCTTTAGGTTGGACTCACTGCAGCATTGAGAAAGTAAGGAGGTGCTCATCAGCCCTTTACTTTTTTGGTGCATGGTATGCTACATATAGAAAAATCACAGGAGTTGCAGAACCAAGGCTTGGGTGGGAGAATCCACTTTTCCACTTGTGGGATCTTGGGCAAGTCATATTATCTCTTTTGACTTCAATTCTATTACGTGTACACAAAGAAATTTTAAAATAAGATATGTGGCTCAAATGAGAAGATGTAATTAGAAAGTACTTTATTCCATCTGATTTTCTAAATTAGCCACAGTATATCTGAAAGAAGGTGGTTCTATTCATACACTGTGAGAAAGTAGGAGAGTCATAATGTCACCTGACCTTAGTTTCCCTGCTTGGAAAATTATGTGGACTGAAATGCGATCTAAAAGCACTTCTGCCTCTGAAATGTATGCCTATATGACTACTCAGCCTCTGTAAACATGGACAGTGGAGGCCAGTTTAGATGACCCCAAATAGCTAAAACAATGCAGTCTCAATAGGGGATGACATTGACCAAGGGAGTCATGGGAAGAAAGGAATGAAGGGCTTCTTGGAAGCAGAGCCATGCCTGTCATTCATGCAGTGAATGAGAAGCTAGATTAGGGGTGGCGAAGACAGGCCAGTTTGGTTGTGCTCAGTGGCCATGGATGGCAACATACTGGTCTAATGAGGCTTGAAGGTTGGTTCAGAAGCTTTTGCCCAGTGACAAATGAGAATTCCTTTATCCTGCCTCCCTGCAGTGTAAATGTGCCAAGGTCATGTGGTTCTAAGACTAGCTTTGAGTTTCACCTGGTGGGACCTCTTGTCCTTCAGGTCCTAGCTGCTGTCTACAAGGCCCTGAATGACCATCATGTTTACCTGGAGGGCACCCTGCTAAAGCCCAACATGGTGACTGCTGGACATGCCTGCACCAAGAAGTATACTCCAGAGCAAGTGGCAATGGCCACCGTAACAGCTCTCCACCGTACCGTTCCTGCAGCTGTTCCTGGTGAGGCCTTCTTTCTTCTCTAACTCAAGGTCTTGGCCCTCATTCTTTGGAGAGCCATAAGCATTTGTGTTTGTTCAGGAATCTGCTTCTATTCATGAAACAAAACTCTGTTATCCCACAGGCAGCCAGCACTTCCCCTCCCACTGAATACCAAGCATCCAAATCTGCCCAAATGCCCACAATCCATCTATTTCTTCACCATTTCACCGCCTTCCTTATGTATTTAAAGCCCTTCTCTCTAGCCTAACTAGCTTCAGCAAAAGCAAACTGATTTCTCTGACCCAGTTCGAGCAAATCAAACAGAAAAGACTGAGACATTGCATTTGTGGTAGGTTCATTGCCTGCTTTCTCAAGCAGGGTACATAAGGTGGGACTAATAGAGCAAAATGGCTTCTTTTCTACCAGGCATCTGCTTTTTGTCCGGTGGCATGAGTGAAGAGGATGCTACTCTCAACCTCAATGCTATCAACCTTTGCCATCTACCAAAGCCCTGGAAACTAAGTTTCTCTTACGGACGGGCCCTGCAGGCCAGTGCACTGGCTGCCTGGGGTGGCAAGGCTGCAAACAAGAAGGCAACCCAGGAGGCTTTTATGAAGCGGGCCGTGGTAAGATGCTGCTCCCTCTTATCTACTTGGTGAAGTTCACATTTGGGACTTGATTCTCTGACATGGAGAAGCATTGTTTTCTTCAGGCCGTGCAGGTATCTACAGAAAGTGTCTGTTAGGCATTTGAAAATGTGGCATTAGAACTCAGTATGAGGATAGAGGCTAGAGAGAGTTTTGAATTAGCCACACTGGTAGTATAGTTGATGACAATAGACCGAAGGACAATTTCAACAGAATCACTTCAGAGGGAAGAAGATAAGAGGACCAAGAACTGAACTTAGGATACTTTTAATTTTGGGAAGATGAAGAAGAAAAGCCACCAAGAAAAGCAGCAATTATATTGTAGGGTGAACCAAGCATTATGAGAACAAAGAGTGAATCATTTCATTTTTTTGAGATGGAGTCTTACTCTGTCACCCATGCTGGAGTGCAACAGCACAGTCTCAGCTCACTGCAACCTCTGTCTCTGGATTCAAGCAATTCTACTGCCTCAGCTTCCCAAGTAGCTGGGACTATAGGCATGCACCACCACGCCCAGCTAATTTTTGTATTTTTTAGTGGAGAAAGGGTTTCACCATGTTGGCCAGGCTGGTTTGGAACTCCTGACCTCAGGTGATCTGCCCAGCTTAACCTCTCAAAGTGCTGAGATTACAGATGTGAGCCACTGTGCCCAGCCAAGTAAAGAATTTCAAAGGGCCAATAATAACATGCTATAGAGAGATTCAAAACAAAGGCCAAGAAAAGGCACTGAGATTGGTATTTAGGAGCGTATCAGTGACCCTTACTGAAACACTTTCAATAAAGAAGAAAGGAAAGGTGCAGATTCAAGAAGTTTTTCAGGAAAAGACCCAGAAAGGTTGCCAGGAGAAATGGGGACCACTGATGAGCCTAGAACTGGGGTGAACAAATCCCATATAGCCATGGCCTTCAGGAAGCTTGGAGTTTAGCCAACTAGGAGAGAGCCTGGCATGTTTAAATGTAAAGCAAGAGGAGACAGTAAAGATGAGGAGAGTGGGGATGACTGAGTGGCGAAGAACTTAGAGGAAGCAGAACTGCATGAGACTCAATATTAAACATAGGTGGCATAGCTGGCAAAAGACAAAAAGGGGGTAAGAGGCAGAAAAGAGAACGTGGTTGGAATCAGCTCTATAGACGTCAAGAGATGTAGCAGTTCATGACTGATTACAGTTATGGGTATCTGCTGAGAATGTTGAAGAAATGGAAATTTCTATACTGACAGTTGGAAAGGGTAGAAAAGCAGTTAAAGGAACTCACTAGGAAATTGATCAGACATTATGGCCAGACATAGCCAAGCATCAAGTAAGGTGCAGCTGAAATAAGAGTCTGAGTTCGTGGTAGCTTCATTCCTGAATTTTCCTAACAGTTGTCTGAAGCACGCAGGAAGAGTCAGACAAACCCGAATGCAAAATAGCAGGGTAGAAGAGTGAAAGTTTAATAGGAAGATAGAAGAGTGACAAGTTTTAGCAAAAGCCTCAGTTAGCATGTTGACCATAGAGGAGGCTGGGCAAGGAGTCAAGTGTAGTCAGAAGCGTGGTGGTGAGGCCCTAAAGGAAAGGAAAGCCCCAGGGAAGCTAAATGTCATCTCACAGGCATAAGAGAGGATGAGATTTTCGAAGTAGTGCTTTACCTTGACTATGGAAAGCAGGGTGTGGCTGTGCTGCTGGGTGGCTGATGGATTGAGGAGACCTAGCTCACTTGATGGAGGGATTGTGAAAGCACAGGTCATGAGGGCCATCCACACAGAAGAAGGGAAGCTGAGTTTATCATCAAGAATCGTGCTTCCCAAGCTCCAGTGTAGATCCAAATCACATGAAGGGCTTGGTTTTGTTGTTGTAATCTTTTTTATTTACACATAATTGTATATATTTATGAGGTATCTGTGATGTTTTATACATACATATAATGTATAATGATCAAATCAGGATAATTAGGGTATTCACTCCAAATACATACTATTTCTTTGGGCTGGGAACATTCCAAATCTTCTCTTCTAGTTATTTCAAAATATGTAATAAATTATTGCTAACTGTAATCACCTTACTGTTCTATTGAACACTAGAACTTATTCCTTCTCTCAAACTGTATTTTTGTACCCATTACCAACCTCTTTTCATTTCCCCGACCCCCATTTGAAGCGCTCGTTAAAATGCAGATTATGGGCCTCACCCACTGAGTTTCTAATTTAGTAGGTCTCAGGTAAGGCCAGAGAATTTCTATTTCTAACATGTTCCTAAAGAATGCTGGTAGACCATGAAACACACTTTAAGAATCATTGATGTAAAATGTAGAAATAACTCCCAGAGAGAACAGACAGTAGCAACAGTGACTAGAAAAAGTGGTACCCACTGAGCAGCATTCAAATGTTATCGTAAGTTTCATAATTCTGAATTTACCTTTAACTGGAATGTATGCAGAAAAGCAAATGATACCATAATAACAACTAAATAAAAATTACATATTATTCTAGACCAATATAGGTAGAAAATGGATACTTTTAAAATAAACAAATTTTTCTTCTGGTATCGTGCACTACACTAGTGAGAAATTTCTCAATTTTAGTTTCTATTGTTGCAATATTGCTGGTACCGAACAGAGATTTTCCCAGTATCTGATACAAACCTCAAGCTTACCAAAGAAATGCTCTGAAAACTGAGATAAAAAGGGGAGACACTTTATAGAAGGAAAGGGTTTGTATCAGCAGCAAGACTCAGCAAGTCACTGCAAAAAAAGAGAAAATCTGAGTGAAGGTATGGTTGGTTTCCTATGAGAAGTAGACAGGGTCAAGCTGGGGTCACGTTTACTCTAACTGGTCTCCTCTCTCACATTTGCCTTCTAGGCTAACTGCCAGGCGGCCAGAGGACAGTACGTTCACTCAGGCTCTTCTGAGGCTGCTTCCACCCAGTCGCTGTTCACAGCCTGCTATACCTACTAGGATCCAATGCCCGCCAGCCTAGCTCCAGCGCTTCTAGAAGGAGGGCTGAAAGGGAGCAACTTTTCCTCCAATCCTGGAAATTAGACACAGATTTGAACTGCTGGAAATACAACAGGTGTTAAATCTTAAGTACAAGGGGGAAAAATAATCAGTTGTTGAAACATAAAAATAAATACCAAGGACCTGATCAAATGTCACACAGCAGTTTCCTTGCAACACTTTCAGCTCCCCATGCTTCAGAATATCCACCCAAGAAAATAAAAGGCTTTGAAACAATATCGGCTCCTCATCCAAAGCACAAATGCTAAATGAAATACCTCATTAGCTAAGTGTAGAGAAGTGCGTCTTCTGAAACAATCTCAGCAGTGGTAGGTTGGGAAGGAGATAGCTGCAACCAAAAAAGAAATAAATATTCTATGAACCTTTGGCTGCTATTGGGTTTCACTTTTCTGCTCTTGTTGTCCAAGGACTCTGTATTTCATTACTTTTGACTCTACTAGACAAGACTGGGTTTCAACAGTCAGGGTCTTCAACTCTGGCTATTCATTGGAATTAAACAGCAAAATTTTAAAAAACTCTGATGCTCAGGCCACACCCCAGCTCAATTAAATGAGAAACTCTAAACCTGGGATCCTCTATTATATTTCTTAAAGCTTCCCCAGTGATTCTAATGTACAGTCAAGTTTAAGAACTACCAATCTAAATTTCAAGTTTGAGGATATTTGAAAAGTAGAGCCATTCACAGTATGAAGCCAGCTAAAAATGTAGAATGATTCTGAGCAACTTGCGGAGTGTGATAAGAAAATTAATGTGACTTTGATGCTTAGAGCATTCCTCTTCAGGTGGCCCAGGTTTGCTGACACAGGGCTACACTGCCGTCTGCACGTCCAGGCACATTTCCTAGTTTTGCAGAAAATAGTATTCACGTAATTATACTATACTGACTTTCAGTTTTCATAATTAACCTATGTTACAAAAGAGAATTTAAATATTATAACTTTGGATAATATAAAAGTAAAGATTTAACTGACAGAAGCTGGGAAATATAAGGGGGAGGAGAAGTGGAGGAAAGCAAAAAGAGTCAGGAATACTACTTAAAACTGATGGGTTCAGAAATAGTGCTTTAAATCTATTTAAATGATCGGGGCGCGGTGGCTCACGCCTGTAATCCCAGCACTTTGGGAGGCCGAGGCGGGTGACTCACGAGGTCAAGAGATTGAGACCATCCCGGTCAACATGGTGAAACCCCATCTCTACTAAAAATACAAAAAATTAGCTGGGCATGGTGGCACGTGCCCGTAAAAAAATCTATTTAAGTAATAAAAGAAATGGATGTAAATCATTAAAATACATACCTAAAATTAAAATACTGAAGATAGTATGCTAAATTTCTTACCTTGACTAACACAAAGAAAAATGGTACTGTGTAGATTAACAAATTAAGAAACAGAGGTTTAACATATTATTTAGAGGAATAAGACAGAATTAGCCAAAGAGGCTTATTTTAAGGAGAAAGACCTGTGAATGGGGTACAGGAAAGACAACTTTTCCTTATTATGTGCTCTCTACAGTATTTTAATGTTTATTTCCATGTACTTGTCATTACTTTTCTAAAAACAACTATATTCATACAAGCAATTCAAGCCTACATTAGAGATCCATTAAGCCCACAGCTTTCATTTTACAGATGATAAAACCGAGCCCAGAGAAGTAAAATTACTTGCTGATGGTCACACATTTATGGTAGAGCTGAGAGATTAAAATTCAGTTCTCTGAATTCAGGTCTCTTGCTCAAAAAATGGACACAGCCAGAGATTTTGCAGGGCAAGGTTACAGGCTGCGTTCAGTATCGCTGCCACCAGTGGTGTGGCCTTCTACGTTTCTCCTCACATTTGGTCAATCATCAAGCACTTTGTCTCCTCCTATGTGCCAAGCTCTCTTAAAAGCTGGTAGGTCACACCTTGTCAGACAAAGCTTTCCCGCCAGATAATTTTTAGCTAGATCTTACCCAGCATTGCTGAATTATTTAGATATTTTAAGAGATATCTAAAGAAACCTCTTAGATTCTTATGAGTTAAGCATGAATTTATAATCAAGGCTGAGTTACTTACATATTTTGGTCAACACTGAATAACATTTTACTGGAAGTGAGACTCTATATAATGCATTTTTCTGGCTACCATCAGATATATTTTCCCTACTAAAGGACTATAATTGTCTTTGAAATCTCAATCCCATTAATTTCCTCCATTCAGGGTAATAAGAAGACAAGTGTTACAAGGCTACAGACTTCAATTTCTCTGTGATTACTGAGTGAATATTTAGTAGCTTCCTAGCTTTGCTTACTTTGTCAGATTTATTTTAGTAGTTATTAAACACCTACTAAAAGTAAAACCTAGTACTAGACATAAAAAATAATTAGAGAAATTTCAGCTTCAGGGCACACCAGACTGTTAAGCTTAAATAGCTAAAAGAAACACACAAACCATTGACTGGGGGTTGGTAAGTGGGGAGGAGAGTCAGGGTGTAGAATCAGATGTCTGGGTGTAGAAAAGGGAGAGATGGTATTTAGGTTGGACACCACAGGAGAACAAAAAGGCAGGGAACTTAGAGAGAGGATACTATCTGTGTGTAAGAAAATACATTCAGAAGTCACTGAAAGGAGATGACATTTTGAAGCTATCAAGAGCCAAGGCCACACACACACACACACACACACACACACACACACAAATGACCAAGTTCAGGAAAGAATAAAAAGAGGAATTTGTTTTGCTCTGAAGAGGGAGGAGGGAAAGAAAGAAGGAAATGAGCAAGAAAATGAGGGAAAAGAGGAAGAAATGAGAAAGGAAAAAGGGGAGGCAGGGAAGAAGCTAGGGCAGTATGTAATTGTGGGGTGGTGACGGGCTTTTGAGAAGGAGGAGAACTATTATTAAGCAATCCAAAGATGCTGTCTTCTTGCCACAAAGAACTGAGTTTCTCATATGAGTCTATATCATGCTTTATAAAAACAAGATACTGAGATGATTCGTAATGATTCATAATGTGAATTAATTTAGCAGAAGCAAAAGCCAACTGTGACAGTGAGAATGTAAGCTTCTAGAAACTTGCAGAAATCTTGGAGTGAGCTTTAGGCAAAGCAGAAATGGGACTTCCAGATCATCTGATTTAGCTTTCCTGGAATCAAAGTCTCCAGCTGCCATCTAGATGTCACTCGCTTGAGCAACAGAGGAGGAAACTGGGGTCCAGTGTGCTAAGGAAGTTGTCCAACGTCACATAACCAGTTGGTGGTGAGATTTAGGCTAGTATGATTTGCAAAGTCCTCTTGGATGGCAGCAGTCAGGGGTCTTCAAAGCACAGGTTCTGGAGTCAGACAGCATAGATTCAAATGCTGGCCTGTCACTTACTAGCCATGTGACCTCGGACACATTATACCTTTCTGTGGTTTCGTTTCTTCATCACCAAAATAAGAAAAAAATATATTATCACATATTGTTGAAAGAATAAATGAGTTAATACATCTCAATAACAAGTTCACAATCCCTTATTCACAATTCTGAAATCCAAAAGCTCTAAAGACCAAAAATTTTCTCATAAGTTTTAGTAAATTATTTGGTGGCAACACCTGACCTGAAGCTATCTGTCATCTTTGTTCCATTTGATGATATGCAGCAATATTAACATGCTTAATTGCAGGTGCTGCCTCAGACACTGCAGAGGGCGTTATACAACATATAGCAAAATTAATATATTTACTCTCTGAAATCTGACAAAATTCTGATTTCCAAAGCACATATGGCCTCAAGGCTTTCAGATAAAGAATTGTGAACCTTCCCTTAGAACAGTATCTGCCATTCATTTTACCCATTTCTCGGGTAAAAGATAAATTGCCCATGCTTAGTGCAGCCTGGAGGGCTCATGCAATGCTACCAATCCCAACGCCTATTTTGTAGAGAGGATAAGTTAGAGAGAGAACTGATGCAAAGCTCAACACAGCCAGTCACAGCTCTTTTTCTGCTGCTCGTATAAACATGGTATTCTGGCTGGAAAGTAGTCTAAGCCTCTTGAAATAATCTAAAGCACTCAGTAGTGGGCATCAATATGTATAACATACATAAAAATCAGACAACTAGCACTCTTGTAGCACCTACTGTATGCTCAGCACTATATGCTTACCATGGAAATGAGGAAGACGAGCACGCAGTTAGAAAACAAAGAAAATTGTACACAATAATGTACTAAATTGCAGTGGCATAGGCTAGATGCTGAAATCAAAAGGTAAGGAATGCTTTACAGAAGAGGATTGGCTGAAGGCAGTTTATTATTAGTTTTATGATCTTGGGAAACATACTTGGTCTCTCTGAGCCTCAGTTTTCACATCTGTAAAAGAGGGTTGTTGTGAGGGCAATATTTTATGTACAGTTCCAGATACATAACTAGTGAATAAATATTAGTTTTCCCTGTCAGCTGGCTCTTGAAGAAAGGTAAAGGCTCATGAGTGAGAATAAACATGAATTATGTGTCTTTACTGGAGTACAAACTATGCATTGAGAGAAATATGGGCAATCAGACTGGCAAATGGTGAGGCTGATTTCCCATGATGGAGTGGCACATGGTCGGACAGAGATATTTTAGAAAGTCTTGTCTTGAAGTGATGAGAAATAGGTAACTATGGATGATTTTTTTTCTATTTGTGTATACTGATTTTTGTTCTATTGTACTTGGTTCTGGGGTACATGTGCAGATCATGCAGGATTGTTGTATAGGTATACACATGGCAATGTGGTTTGCTGCTTCCATCCCCCAGTCACCTACATCTGGCATTTCCATGTTATCCTTCCCCCACCTCCCCACCCCCCCCAACTGTCCCTCCCTTGGCCCCTGCAACAGACCCCAGTGTGTGATGTTTCCCTCCCTGTGTCCATGTGTTCTCATTGTTCAACACCTGCCTACGAGTGAGAACATGCAGTATTTGATTTCCTGTTCTTGTGTCAGTTTGCTAAGAATGATAGTCTCCAGATTCATCCAAGTTCCTACAAAGGACATGAAGTCATCATTTTTTATGGCTGCATAGTATTCCATGGTGTATATGTGCCACATTTTCCTTGTCCAGTCTATCGTCAATGGGTATTTGGGTTGGTTCCAGGTCTTTGCTATTGTAAATAGTGCTGCTATGAACATGTGTGCATGTGTTTTTATAATAGAATGATTTATAATACTTTGGAGATATATCCAGTAATGGGATTGCTGGGTCAAATGGAATTTCTATTTCTAGGTCCTTGAGGAAGCACCACACTGTCTTCCACAATGGTTGAAATAGTTCACACTCCCACCAACAGTGTAAAAGTGCTCCTATTTCTCCACATTCTCTCCAGCATCTGTTGTTTCCAGATTTTTTAATGATTGCTATTCTGGCGTGAGGCGATCTCAATGT